GATTTAAGGCCGAAAAAAGTCGATGGTGATACTATAGTGTCCTGGAGTTGCTCCTGTCTCCAACTTTTCTGTCTCCACTCAAACTTCCGAGGGCAAAATCTAGAGCGGTTTTTCTTCAGCGGGATTTCGGCATTCAGTACTAGTATTGTGGAACGGAAAGCAATAGTATAGAACTTTCCGTTATTGGCCTCACGTCATGGGGGATGTAGTGTAGTCCCATTTTCGTTCGCAAGGGAGAGTAGCGTGGCGTAAAAGCTCTATAGATCTCGACGGTACTTTTTCAGAGTAGATTGTTTTTTGAGCTGTTCCCAATAACTTTTTTTGCTTATGTCGATGTAACTCCCTCTACAAAAATTTTTTTCGCTGCTGTGATAAGATCAAGCATCATATAGCTTCTTTTTTCGGTATACTTATTAGTGGTCGTTGAGATGCGATCTGAACTTCTTGCTCGAGGAACTGAGGCGAGTTCGGCACAAGTTTGGCAGGCAGCATGTGTTCTCGATCGTGTTTTCTTTATCTGCCAGTCACATTAGAAGAGAATTTTTTAAGGTTATCCACGTCATGCATGACTTATTTCATTTTTCTCAGGCCGTGTTAGCAGTTCTTTTCCATCTTATTGCTGAATCTTCTCTTCGCAGAGAGATCATATCCTGTACAGAAACCAAATACCGTTGAGATGCAAAAAGCTACCATTCTTTGTTTGCCAGAATTTAACAGTCCACCACATGAGTCGTAATGTTGGGAGAGTCCTATATCCATCGGCGATTTTCTTTCTTCTCGGAAAATGAGTTGCCACGGAAGAGGTGCATTGCCGGCAGAAGTCCCACAGGATGGTTTTCAGTCTCGACTCGTTTCCTTATTTCGAATTTCCTATACTTTATTCATTTTCGTGTGCCGTTCCTGATCTGGCTTTGGAGTCTCCAACAACGAATTTATAGGAGGACTTTTCGTTCCAGATTAAATCCTCCAAATGGTTGTAGAGCGCGTTATGTTCCCCTCATCAACTGCAAAGATTAGTGATTAGCAGATAATGATAGTGAACTTTCTCCTTGAGCGAAAGCTGGAAAAGAAGAATGGCCAAGGGCGGTGATAGGATTTCGTTTGGTGTCACTAGATGGGAAGGAGATGGGTCTGCGCCAAAGCCAACAATTCCGATGTTTCCTAGTGGAAATTTCCTTCCACCAATGACAAGGGTGCCGTCATCTAATTGACGTATTTCGGCCTAGCAGTTTTTCGTCTTTGTAGAGCGGCCAAATGGAATTTTATGCGACCAGACGCCTTGAAAAGAGCGTGACGGTCGGCGTCTTAAGAAACTGTTCTAGTGTTACAGGTTTAGTAGGTGTAGTGCAGGAAGTAATGTTGATTGCTTTTTGTGGGCGTCCTGGCTTTGTTCGTTTCCAGTGGAAATAGAAACGTACGTGTATTTGACTAACAGAAAAGAAAGAAGAAACAAAAAAAACACTGCAAAACTTACTCGAATGCCGTGTTTTTCGTTACTTTCTGTAGTAAAAGGATAAAGGATAAAGCCCTTGGCAATGATCAATCCCTAAGGGATGTGCCGTGTATTCGACTTCATTAAGCATCGTTTGGAGGAGACTGAATGCATATCTATCCTTTACAGTGGTTCGTGGTGTCCTATCTATGTGGTGATCCAGTGCTGCCATCCTTCCAGACAAGTCTGGTACCAGTTTGCCGACCACGGAGGGATGGAGGGCTTGGTGGGCCATGGGCGCCGGGATCGATTCCACGTGTGTTTCGCAGTGGCGTTTTCAACCACTGCACCACACGGGCCACGACGAAGCTTTCTCTTGTATTACGTGTAAATATCTCCGAATCTTTACTTATCTTTATTCTTGAAAAGGATTTGTTGTAACAGGATGAGGAACATTCGATTGTCCTTGATTTATAGTTTACGAACATTTGACCTTTTCATTTAAACAATTTACGAACAATCACCATGACGACTGAGATATTTGCAAAACTTGTACCCAGAGCCAGATCGAACAGCGTTGACCCTCTCCAGGATTCACGTTTTACGAACCGCGTCATTGAGGGCCTTGCACTGCTTTTCTTTTAGCCGGTTTTCTACCTAATACTGTCATCAACAATCATTCGTCAGTGGGGTTGATCGGGGTTACAAATCGGCATTGAACCCAATTAGGCTCAGACTGTAGTCGAAATCACAATATCTCTTCAAAGAAATTGAAGAAAAATCTATAAATAGTCGTTAGTATGTGATCTTCGAAGACTTCGCATCTTCGTTTTCCATACTTCTCATGTTTTGACCTTTGTTCAGAGTGGGAATTAAATACTTTAGTAATTTCTAATCCAGGTCACAAAGGATCGTTGGTTCTCTCTGATTTGCATGCTTTGAGCGATGATATCATTTTTGATGCTATTTTTACGTCTCACATCAATGGACGCAAATCAACGAGTCCACCTGAAGTTTCCTCGTCACGACAAACGATTACACGACGAGCCCCTCGCTTCACTTCCTTCACCGTTCGGCAACAAGGTTAGAACTAAGTAAACGCAAAAAAGTGTAGTCCAAGATTGATCAATGAATACATGCTCTTACGCAAAATGACTTGTTCATCAGAAAACGCTGAGGTTTTTAAATGGTTTTTTACTGCGCACTGTTTCAGGTTTACTTGAAGAATAAGCTCCTGACCAATTTGAACAACTTTTTTCCCGGCTCGACTGAAACGCTTGAGTTGTTTGGAGTTTCACAAAAAGAAAGGGAGCCCAGCGAATCGAACCCTTCAGCAGATGTGTTCTCTTCTTCTCCAAAAAACTTTCTTCCACCAATGAACAACTTTCTTCAAAATGCTTTATTGCCAGCACAATCCGAAAAGAATTTGTTTCCTACGTTAACACCTACAGAAGATACTACTGAAGCGTACACAGTGGTTTCCATCGATGCACCGAAAAGAAGGTAGTTATTAGTATTTAAATACAAATGAAAACCTTAGCTTTTTGATAAGAAGATCACAACATTTTGACATGAGTTCTTTTAATTTTCCCCACGAGACAGTATCCATGACTCGCTCACCGAGATCTGCAGAAAGGGAATGGAAGTTCACGGACAGATTGTCGTAGTCTTTTGATGCAGTCGTAGAGCTTAATTTTGTGGGTGACCGAGCCACCTTTACGGTACTTCTTAGTGAATTCGCTGCAAGGCTTTGGTCTATTTGGTGAGACACGTTTATACAAGCGTGTACATTTACACTTATTTCCATGAATTTCTAATTTTGGTATACGTAAGATATAAGCCAATCCAGATAAAATGAACTCAATTACTGAATCTATTTGTGCCTCATGCCATCTTCATCTTTGTTTTTGCTCAGTGCTTAAGTGTCTGTCCGGCATTTAGGAACATGATGAGCCATGCGACTAATGGGCTCAAAATTATTCGTATCCTTAATTTCTAAGGTACCCATTAAAATAAAACTCATAACACTTTAGATGGACGTGACACAGCTAAATCCACCGTTCATTACTTATCTAAATCAAATTTTGCTTCTATTTATTCTATCCGGAACTCGCTTTGTTAGCTGTGTGTTATTTGTACAAACGTTCATGCCATGACCTTGTGAATCGCGACACACGATTTCGTCAAGCAAACAATGGTTGCTCAAGTTAACGTGTAAAAAGAGCTCATAGGCGCCTACAGGAACTGAAACATCCAGCGGCACTTTTATAATGAACGAAAGAAGAAGAAAGATGGAAGGAAAAGAAAAGAGAACGAGATGAATACAAATAGCTATTTAAGGAGCGAGTAGCGCACTGGTAGTTAGACCATTCATCAGAAACGCGGCGCTGGTTGGACTGCAGACCGGGTTCAATGGTAGCAGACTCTTTTGAGCCCAACTCACTTTTTTCAAATCAAAAAAGGAAGGCTATAGCACAGCTATTCCAGAACGCGAATTAAAATCGACTTAATCAGCACTGAAAGAACATTCACAAAGATGGCAGATATCTGCACACAGCAATCCCAGACATGAAAAGTTCAAAGACGATTGTAGGTGGTGGATGCGAGGATGCGAGTAAGCGCATAGAATCCAAAAAGTGGTGTGAACCTCACCACAAATGTGAAAATAGGTCATGTGAAAGAATTAGCTCTACTGTTTCAAAAAAGCACTTTCTGAATTTCCTTTGCATAGCGGTTGTTATGCTGAGAGCTTCCAGGAAGCTATTTGTCACCTTGTCATTATAATCCTACAGTTGCCAATATGACCAAAGTACAAGTAATAAAAACTTATGAATACCACTGTTATTCGTCGTGAAATTCTTGCTTAATTTGCCGAATCTGTGAGGAAGAGTGAGTGAACGTCGTGGCTACAACTTTGCAGCGCTACTCACCACTCAGCTTGCCAAATTTGTTTATAATAATAAAACTTCCGTAATTGAAACTCAATAGAAATTATTATGTAAACTACGCCATGTATCTCAAATCTAGGGTTGGCATCTTATTTCTTGTTATCCTTGTCATTTGATTTTAAATAAACAAGTAATAGCAAAGAGCGCTGCTAGCACAATACAAGTGATGTCGATCATCATGTGAGTTCAGTACACTCAACGTTTAGCTTGGTGCCGGTTCGATCCCGCCTCAGCTTAGCAAGCCTGTCATCCCTCCGGGGTCAGGAAATTGGTGCCGGATTTGTTCGGCAAAAAACCGCTATCTGCAATCCAATTGGGAACGCTCCAGCACGGCTATCTCTCGAGGGAAAATCGGCTCCATCGACATTATGCTATATTCAAGATGAACTAAGAATCCTCGAGCAGAAACCGAAGCCACGTTCATATGCAAAAGCTGGAAGACCTTCGTGGACGATGAATGCTTGGAAACAAATCAAATGTGAAAAGTGCTGAGATCCACAGATTAGACGTGAAGGCGGGTCGTATAAAATAAATAAATGAGTAAAGGAATTTGCTTTGCGGTTCTAACCATCGACTAGGCGGTTCTCTACTTTCTAATTAGGTTTTGTGACTACCATCTCATGTATTTTCGAATATTATTTTCACTGTTCTGCAGATCAGAAGGTCCAATTGATTCTGATAGCTTGCTGGACAGTATACGAGACTGGCGCAAAAGGTTATACAGGGCTTTCAAATCGAGCCGATCGAAGCAGTCGGTGAATCAAATCATGGACAATTCGACTCCATCCCAGGCGAAGGCAGTGCCAAGTAAGGCTGCTTAATCATAGAATTCGGAAATCGTATAACCTTGCATTTCTAAGAGACATAAAATATTCATCAAAGAAGGACATTTCTTCATGGCAATATGGGATTGGGAATGGGAAATTAGGGAACAAAATAGACTATTTAGCACAAAAATTCTATTTCATTAAATAGGGTACTCTAAGAACCAGCGCTGTGTAGAAACGCTGTGTTCATATCTTCTTAATTGTGTGCCCGTATATAAGCGGACTTCATTGTATCCTGAATGGTAACGCGGTAAAAATTTCATAATCAAGTGACTAGGAAGTGTTTTAATGGGAAACGTTTAGGGTAGCTCGCTAACACTTAAATACTGAGCTTACTTCCTGAAGGACGGAATGAATATATCCGGCTCGCAATAATAAGTCTGATAGCGTCTTTGGTTGTTTCATAACTTCAAAACAGATATATTGAATGGGCCCAGATCTCTTAAAATTTAGTAGGAAAAATGTGATCCTCGTCGGGCCCTTAGGGACCACCCAGTTCAAACTTGCGACAGAGACGACTGAACGTTTTACAAGCTTTCTGTACCTATCGTTGACATTGAATGAAGGACAAATGATATGAAGAGAAACGCCCGCATAAGCATTCACACTTGGCGATTTATGCATGCACTACAGTATCAGAAACCTCACCTTTAAAAATCGGTCTCTGTTAGGAAATTGGTATTTTACTGAGCATCAAACGAACAAAGCATCTAGATATTAGAAAAGAGGTTGCAGTAGTTATTTTCCGCTAAAAGAATACAGCTACAATACAAAGAATTCTTCAGCCATTGAGCAATCGAAAACATTTTAGGAAGCGATATCGTGGATTTCAAAGATATCATTCCCATAGTGGTGGATAAAAACCGACAAGTACTGCTCAATAGAAAACTGCCAAACTGGCATACTGCCACCAAAGATGTTCAGACGTTTGGACGAGATCCCACTGGGAAGGTAAGCATTCGCTAAACTCTCAGAGTGATTTTAACATGTGTCCTTAATATGTGGTACTTCTCCCTTTTTCAATTTTCTGGGTTGTTTTCTTTCGTGGGTATTTGCCAAGCATTCTACAACTTCATTTCTTCTTAGGTGGTCCGCCTTTTTGGCACTGAAGCCAGTGGCTACCACACAAGGCCATTTAACGATAGTCCATCGGCTCATTCTTTAAGGTGACTTCTTCACAATAATCGTATTCCACTTTACCATTCGTTGCGCTATCACTGGTATATTGAACTCACATTTGCAGTGTAACCTATTAGCATTCAATAACCAATGTTAGGTTGAGTCTGGTTAGTTCGTAATGGAGATGAAGCCAACGACTAGTTCCCGTCCTATGGACGGAGTGAAATGCATTGGTACTGGTAAACAGCTGTTTGCCGAATCAATCCTGCTGAACATATCACCATTAGTTTTGTTACAGTAACGTTCTTCTTTTAAAAAAACTGCAAACGTTCATAGAACGATATTCGTCGGCCTTACATAACTCCATAACTCGTGCATACAGAATGTTCGTGTCTGTTTCACGTTCTTGCAGTGACTATCTGCCATTATCTCCACTATCGACAAGTCGGCAGGCATACCGAGCTTCTAACGGGCAGAAGGTCGTCTACGTGCCTGCTTCGCACGTCACTCAACCACCGCCGGTAGATCTGCGCCCATTCAACATTTCAATTTATGAAGTGACAGTGAGCATTGTGAACTCGCAGATACCAATTGCAGAATACTTCGGGTAATAGCCGAAAATCGCTTGTTTGTGAATTTTGTGTGGCATGAATTGAGACCTTTCAGAAGCTTTAGAAAATCTACAACATCAAAAGAATCTCTGGCGATTTTTACAGAGAAAAGGGAAATTCTCTTTCGTTTTCCTAGTCAATTTTTGTCCCCGCATCATGGGTACCTGGGTAAAGCTATTTTGAGACATTGAAAACGGCTTCTAAGCAATATGATGACAGAATCGAGAAATGGGGCATAGAAGCGCGGCATCTCGATTATGATAAATGACTTGATTCCTTTTAGGTAACGGCACCCCTACCAATTTTACCGCCACTGATCACCTTTTCGTATCCACAAGAGAACTTTGTACCTGACTATTCAGCAGAACGACGTTACACTACAGCTTCACCATTTTGGCAGCAGTACAGTAGTTTTCCTAACAATTTCGGACAGAATCATGCTGGTACAAATTATGTGCCGGAAACACAGACACCTAACATACCCATTTTGGAGGCAAGCTATGGCACTACTGCTCCTTATGACAACAACCACTACGAAAGCTACGGAGACGAAATTAACGAACAGATGCAAACTGTAAGTCCGTTACTGCCATATATTTTATGTCCTGCCATCAGAAATGGCTACGTGCAAACGATGATTTCTGGAAATGATGTGTAGCAATGAGTCATCAATATGTAGTAGCATCTTTATAGTATATACCAAAGTCCAGTCGTTTTTCTTTGTGATAGTGCACAGGTATATTTGGGCGTCGAAATGACAGCTGCAACGGGAGCTTTATTTATTAATTATTAAGAATGGTATGCTAAGTTGAGAAAGGGTTCGATATTTCTATCATAAAGCCTGGCTGTGAATAAACCTAAAATACTACTTACGCTTGTGAACTGGCTTTGGCCATCTTCTTGCCAAAAGCAATACTTGATACTTGATACTTGAACGGCCCGTCCTCACTTGTTGTGCGGGTCCCAGCATAAACTCCATTTTTTGAAAATTTATTGTTAAGCCATTGTAGTTTTCTAGAATCCCAAGGTCAGCCTGGCCGAAGTCTGCCCCAGGTCTTTACCACCACAGGCAGCCGCAGCCCTTGTGGATCTGAGAAAGATTTGCCACCACGCGATTTTGATACCAGGACGATGGAAAATCCTGGTATTGGTTTACTCTCAGCTAGGCTTTCTGATGAAAACGCTGGACCCCTTCTCAGCTGGGAGGCCCTGCCAGGGGAATGAATTCTCACGCTATACATAGCACCCGACACACAGAAACACCTGCCAGCCACGATGAGGTAACCTATTGGGAAGCAATACAAATAAGAAGTCTCGTAGAAAGAGTAGGAAGAGTAGGAAACCGTCCATCTCCTTAGATTGAATAAAACTACGTCTTTGAGCTGATGCGAAATTGGTATAAATTGTCGTTATTGTTGCCGTGGTTGGTGGTATTGTTGGTCGATGGCTGACGTTTCAGCGATTTCGCCCCCCTCGGAGCAGTGCTGTTACGAGCGCGATTTAGTTCCTCATTAAATGTTATAGCTACTATTCTAGCAACACCTAAAGGGTATATCATGTACTGTAGAAAATTTTAACTGCATTTACATGGCACCAAAAAAGCGGACAATGTATTTCGTTCTATAATTATTCGTAAATGACTTCATGCCCACGTTTTTCGTTTACTAATGGTTACACTGGAGTTCGCATCGCATATCGTAAATAGGTGGCCATGACTACACAGCTTGGTATAAGATTGAACGCACAAGACTAGTCCTAACTCAGTTCCACGTATGAGGCTCGACATTAGATATATTTTTTACCTACTTAGTGCGACAGCGATGTGTGTGGCACAGTGGTTGGAGACGCCACTGTGACACACACGTGGAATCGATCCCCGTGCCCCTGGCTCAGCGAGCTTTCCATCCCTTCGGAGTCGGCAAATTGGTACCAGACTTGTCTGGGAGGATAGCAGCACTGGCTCGATACATCGGCAGGCCACCGCGAGTCACAGTGAAGGCCAGATACGCATTCATCACCTCCAACGATACTTAATGAAGTTCAGTGCATAGCGCATCCCTCAGAGATTGATCAACTCCGAGAGCTTTTTCGCTTATCTTTTTGCTTAATCCGGCATCACCTTCCAATGGTTCACCGCCTCATCGTGGCTGGAAGGTGCTCCTGGGTGACAGGGTGCGATGAAGAACGAGGGAATTCGTCTCTCTGGAGAGGTATCCCAAGCTAAGAAGGAGCCCGGCGTTTTCATCAGGAAGCCCTGCTAAGTGTAAAACAATACCAGGATCCACCACCGTCTTGGTATCAAACTAGTCTCATGATGGCAGATCTCCCTCTGATCCACAAGGGTGCGACCGCCCTTGATGGTGACCACCTGAGGCAGATTTGGACAGGTTGTCCTCGGGACTCCAAGGAACCGCAATGGCTAAACCAGCAAATGTCCAGAAAATAAAAATTATGCTGGAGTCCGCACACCCAGTAAGGACGGGCCATCCAAGTATCCAAAGCGAAATACCTCTTTCTGAATTGGGTACTGAAAGCAAGGGCATAAGAGAAAGACGGACGAGTTCGCGGAGTGCAATGTTTAATGATGTAGTATATCAAGACGAAAGACGTTGGTTCGACACCCTCCCAACACTCTCCTCCAATCCGAATGAGAACGCCTTAGCTCGGTTATCCCAAAGATTGCAAACAAAATCGATTCAACTAGCAGTTAACGGCATTGATAAAGAAGACAAAATCCTCAGGCAACAACCGAAATAGCACGTGAAATATTCGAAGAACACTGTGGGCGTTGAATGAGAGGATAACGAATCGAATGCAAAAAGTACTAGCACCCGCACAGTAGATTTGATGGCGGGTTATTTAAAGAGTGTAATTTTAAAGAAATTGAGAACAACCGACGCCGAAGAAATGGAATACTGGGGTAAGTTTTAGGCGTAAAAAATATCTCCTAAAATTATAGTGCACTGGAGAGCCGACGTGCCTGAATGGTCAGCCTGTATCGGAGGACAAATGCAATAGCCTACGTCTAAGGACAATCATACAAAATGTAAGAATTTCAGCAACAAATCAGTGTTACTCTACTCATGAGATCCCATCAGTTAATTACTCACCTTGGTAGCAATCTAAATCAGGTATTTTTGAATGTTATCCCCTGACTAGTGATTGGTGATATTGTTGACGACAGAGAGCGATAGAACTAACTGAGAGACAGGCGAAAAGAAGGACCCTCACGGTGTGGTAGTGAGCCCGTTACTCCCCGGAAAGGATAGTAGCGCGTTCGTTCCACAGCGCACACACCTGCGGTCCGGGGTTTTGCAAATACTTCAGCATCATTGAAGTTACTTTTGAATGGTTGTAAAGATTTTACCTTTGCAGAACATAGTGCAAAATGATGCAGAGGCTTCAAAACGTGCAGTCCAGTCTGCTGCTGAAGAGGAAATTGGACAATTCTTCAACGCTATCTGTGGAACAGGCTTTTTCAGCTATATTGGTCAGCATATCCTCTTAGAATTCTGGTTGCCATTGTGTTTCAACTAAACGAAAAAGCTTAAACGGCATATTTGCATGATTACTTGTATATATCTGTGTATGCACATGTGTGTGTTGTGTGTTTGTTGTGTATGTGTGTGTATGTGGGCATGTGTATGTATATGTATATGTGTATGTATATGTGTATGTGCATGTGTATGTATATATATGTGTTCGTATATATATATGTGGTGTGTGTGGTGTGTCTATGTATGTGTGCTTGTTATCGTCGTTCATTTAATTTTTTCATTCTTCTCAGGCTTCCATCTGTTGCATAAACCCTAAAATATCATATGCATGGCAGAAGACCGGCAGATTAGCAGCAGCTTTCCGCCTTCTAGACTCTCAATCGCAATATCATCTGCAATCCCTTTAATCACCGAGTAACTTGACTATCTATGAATCCATCACTATTTCCGGTTACGCTCTAGAGCTATCCGTTTGGACCCTCTCCCGAGTTTCATCACAATTTTTCCTAGGATTCCCCTCACGTCTAGCGTTTTTGGTAAACGTAGCCTCGGGTGGCTCTCGGCGCTTTGTAGTTTGCTATAGTTAGACTTATGAATAGAAGCATCGCATTTCTCAGAGGAACGACGGACATACATCTATGCACATACACACTATAGAAGCTGTATTTCTAATCACTTATTGTTTGGATGTTTAAAGCCATATCAGTCGGAAGAGATTCCTACAGTTTACCGCCTCATAATTTTAAAACTGAACTAGGCTTACCACTTCTGTATGAAACGTACACGACTTTTTGAGTACCATGAAATAATATCCACCTGTACGGCACGAGTCATATAGCGCTGGGATGTACTAGGGTGAAGAGTTGAGTGCTCTATCGCACATTTCGGCATTTTTTCATTGAGGTATGCATAATGAAGCCTTTTTGTCGCTTTTGCATAATGTATGTCCTTAAGGGCTCGAGATTACAAAGCCATGCCCAGTTAGGAAAAATGAATTAGAAAATCGACTGAAACATTTATGAATGAAAATGTACTCGGTTTGATATTTCTGAAGCCAACAGAACAGGCGACGAGTAATCTCTATCGGCTTCGAATTAAAGTCACAGTGTCTTTTACCAAACGTGTAGGCAAAATTTTGTAGTGCTGTTGATTTTAAAATAAAGTGAAATAAAACTGAACTTGCTGAGGAAATCTGCGAAATGTATCCTGTACAGTTTTGTTCCATCTATAAACTCAATGATGAATCGAATCATGATTTCTTCTCAATGTTGCCATCAAAATCTTGGTAATCCTTGTCTGGTCTCTGGGGACTAAAGGGAGCACGAGTACAGTGCTTGAATTATTAAATCTTAAGTAACTTAATTACGAAAAAGAGACGAACCCTTAATGGGTAAAGGTAAATTTGATTATGGTTTTCTAGCCCACACAGATGAGTTCTGCCTGGCATCAATGTTTGGTGTGAATTGCTATCTATTCTCGCCGGTATGCAGTGACACGTCCACAACAATCTTCAAGAAACTTCGCAAATCACACAAAAAGGCTCATCTCAATCGGAATTAGCGTTTCAAGGGGAATCAAGAAACAAATCGAAAACACTGTGACATGGTATCTTCAATAGTCTTCTAATCGGCTAATAATTTTCCTCATGACAGAATTTTTTGTAGTAGGCATACATATGTACAGGTTCGGGTTTTGTGGATGTTGCCACAAACTGTGTATCACTTAAATTATTGAGATTAAATAATTTTCTACATGACTGAGCTGGAACGAAGTTGGTATAGGAGACTTTTATTCGGCTAACATTTTAAGTCATTAAGATTCAATAAAGTGATTTGTTCCACAAAAAGAAGTATCATGTTGATATTCTGTGAAAAAACGATGACTTAGATGTACTAGCATAATATGACGTGCAGACAGGAAGTGTGAAATTGAAATGTAACTGACGATTGTTTTCATTCCACCGCTTGCAAATACACGAAATCAGCCCTCCGGCTGTTCAAAGCTCGAAGGGATGCACTTCAAAACGACTGAACAAACGGCAAGTGTCATCATAAATACGCAGACGGTCACGAGACGGCTGCTGATCACCTTGGCGAGCTGGGGGAGGTGTAGAGAATATTCCGAAGAGTTCAAGAGAGAACAATTGTTCCGCACTCTTAAAAAAAATCTCTAAAAAATGCCGAAGGTTGCATAGGATTTATAACCTTGTGTAACTACTAAAACTTACAAAAATTGTATTTGGGAATCAGAAACCATGAAAAAAAACAATGCTGGCTTCTTTTTCATTTTTTCTTAAACAAGATTCTCTATCGAATAGTAAAAATTATCTGGTAAAACATTTTCGTGCCTTAAAAACAAGATCAGAGAGTAAATAGTAGTTTTTAACAGAAAAAGAACGCTTTAGAAACAAAGAACTTGAGTATTACTACAAAACTCACCAAAGCTGAAGGACAAAGGAGGTAGGCTGGCCGGGTTGTGACAGCCTTTAAAAAATCCACGAAGCGGAAGCGGCGTAGGCATTGCACTAAAATTTACAATGCAACAAAAGTCAGTAAGTGATTGGATGAACGGACCGTTATGTGTTTGTCTGTCACCGACTCCACTCTGTATCGTGAAAGACAGCAACACCTCTACGGCGATTCTGTTCAGAGCGTTCAAGAATTCAAGGTAGGTTGCACGCCTTGAAATTCTGTCATCGGTTGAATAATTTTGCTGTTTTGTCAACGCTCCTAAAACTTTATACGAATTTTCTAACCCTGCGTAACAGTAAGAAGTGCCGATGTCCACATAACTCGTTCGCGTTAATCGCATTGAACAGCAAAGTCAAAAACATGGGAAAAAACACAGGCCGGTTGTAACTGCGGCGGAGCTTTAAATAGCGAATTCGTTAAATTATAAAAAAAACGAGGTCTACGCACATTTAGATGAATGTGCTCAGAGGAGGGTCTGTTATTCTATTCTATACAGAATTTGCTACAACATCCTGAAATATATAGATCCCAATTCCAGCTTTAATTTTAGGATAAATCTTTATATCACTATTCTTATTATCTAGCATCTTTGGACAAAGAGATGCATTAGGTACATGATTGGTTAACGACAAATGTAAAAGAGTATCTTTCAGTAACTCCCACGACCGACTTTCTATTAACCTCGGCATTGTTCGAGTAATTCTTTGTATTTTTGTTGAGCAAACGCGAGGTGGTATTGTTCTTTATTCACGAATAAGCTGACGTTTCGGCGGATTTCGCCTTCCTCAGAGCCCGGAAGGGTCAAGTTGACAGCAAACTATTCGGCGAGACACCTCCATAATCAAACAAAGAAACTCTAAACTAAGATTTCAATCACATTGAACAGAGCTTTGCACACTCACCGCTTCCTATGAGGTTTCCACTAAGTATGTCGGGTGAATTCCAGCCACACAGAAATCACATGGAAGCATAATGTGCCCCTCCCATCAGAATAACAGTCTTACATACTGCCCTATATCACGCGTGATAATGAGGCATTCTTCCCTGCGGCTCATTTTCGGATTTCTGGAATTGACCCAGAATGCCTCGAGAGTTTTGCGCGCTCATGTTCTCGATTCGTGTGCGTGGATCGTGACACATACTTCAAAGTCTTCCCCGTTATGTCTCTGGGTCCTATGCTAACCGTGTTAGGAGGCATGACTCTCCCTGATGGTGCGCGCTCATTATTAGAATTGGGGCCGAGTTTCTCACCATCTGAACCCATTTCTAAGATAACCTTGCGTAGGGTCGCATGTGGTTTACATGAACTTCAAGATAGACTCCGCAAAAAAGCTAGAGATGAAGCGCTAAATAGGTGTGAACAGCACCAAGCGGGGGCCCTACCAATAGCGCCATTTCCTCCGCGGTTCTTTAGACAACAAGAGCTCAATAATGAAGTCGATGTTAATTTTCGGATGTTTGCGAATGAAACTCTCAAAGTCCTTAATCACTATCACGCGAAAAGATAGAGCTCAAACCTCACTCTAGTGCAAAAACATGGTATGCGAGAGGTACGAGAGCTGATAAGGTTGAGACTATCCGTTAGTGATAAGGATGGAGAGTTTGTCGTTATTCCTTATCAGTTAGATGTGGAGATAACGAAAAAGCATTTTGAAGATGCTTCACTTTATCGCCCATCATCTGAGAAAGAATTTAAAAGTAGATACCGAAATATAACTCGTATGAAATGCTGAGATATTTGCAAAATTCCGGACCACAGATGTATGCAGTGCGGAACGAACGCGCGCTGTTGTCCTTACCGGGGAGCAGCGCACTTCACCACTACACCATCCGTGTCCTTTGGAACTTTGGACCTTTGTACCTTTGGACCCGGATGGTGTAGTAGTGAAGTGCGCTGCTCCCCGGTAAGGACAACAGCGCGCATTCGCTCTCCACTGCATACACCTGTGGTCCGGAGTTTTGCAAATATCTCAGCATTTCATACGAGTTATATTTCGCGACATACCTTGCCATTAGGAAGAAAAAGGCAGTAAATAAAAAGGTTAAAATTGTAAATACTAAAAATTGAACCACGAATGGGCCAAAATGGCAAGGGCTGCTAGTTTAAAACCATCAGTTATCACTCGACTAAAAGTTGTCTTACCAACATGCCCCGTCTTGTACTTACTTATAAAAACTCATAAGTTAGTATCCAGCGATGATCTCGCGTCTACCGATCCATAACTATTTAAGGTTAGACCTATCGTTAGCTGCGTAGACGGGCCAACGGACAGAATAACATCGTTTTTAACCCTAATGCTTAACCAGTTGTTGAAACACATTCCAGCCCATTTTACGAATACCCAGATGTTTCTGGATCGTCTACGTACTGCATAGCTCAGCAGCGCGTACGTGATGGAGTCCTTCGATATTACCGCCCTTTATACAAACGTGTCGAATGACTCCGCAATGCAAGCCATATTCGAACTCCTTACACAAAACGAAGGAGAAATAAACATGTATGGCTTCAGGATAGAGCACCTGATGGCACTCTTAAAAGAATGCTTGAGCTGCTCAATCTTCAGATGGTCTGGAAAGTACTACGCTCAAATAAGAGGGTTGGCAATGGGACAACGACTGGCTCCAAGCCTTGCCATTGCATTTATGTCTAAGGTGGAAGCACCGGTGACTGATCTCGGACAGCTACCCTACTGTAGATATGTAGACGACTGTTTTGTCCTTTGCTCAACACAAGAGG